GTCAGAAGAGGGCTCTGCTGGGCTGTGTTACAGCCAGCTTCATGGATAGTAAATATCCCAAGAGAATTAGTATTAGTTTGTCCATCTTAATATCAAAATGACAGCCTAACTTACAGTGAGTACTGTTCTCAAGACGGAGACCCCGTGCGCTATTGGTCCTTTGGAATGTGCGTCAACCAGGGATACCAGCATTTGCCATAGTGAGACAATAGGATAGGATATTTTAATTGTTGTAACTGCTACTTTGGGTTCTTTAAATTATTTTCTTTTAGAAAGCAGAGCTCTTTAAGGAAGATTACTTCATTTATATTTAGCCTGTGAGGGTCAGGCACTGATGGAGAAATTGGATTTGAATGTGTTTATGTATACAGGGCTTCATCACACTGATCCCAGCCTTCTCGCATATGCTATCAGTGGTGAAATAAATTTACAAACTTTGACTTGTTTTGAAAAATTATTTTGACAGATGGCATATGCTTGGGCAGTTTAAAGTCTGACTTTTATTGTGTGCTTATGATTCTTTGTAAATAATTGCATAGTTTCTTCTGAAGAAATAACATCTTAAAAGATGATTACATCTGAGGATGTTCTGCTTAGTTCAGTATATTGCAAATCACCATGCCTTTCTATTAAAGCAAGTCTTCCTGATTATTGTATTTTATTATGCAGCAGCATTGCACATTATGATTGCTTTCTTTTGTGTTGTACTGTTGCAAAATAGTCACTGAAATCTACTGTGTACTTACACCTGCCAGACTTCATACCTCAGAATTTTTCTTTTCCTTTTATTTTCCTCCTCTGCACCCTGCACTCCCCCCAAAAGAACTGCACAGCTTTCTTTCCCATCTTCTCTGTTGTTTGAAGGCAAAGAACAGAGAATCAGGGAGAAACTGAAGTTGCAAAAATCCAGACAAACTTCAAATATTTGTGGGTAAGGAAGCCATCAAACATATCCACAAGAAAACTCCAAAGACAGTTGCAAGGGTGGTTCCTGGCCCTGGGCATTGACATACTCCTGCCATATCCCACCGGTTTTTTCTTGTCCTGGGAAAAGGTCTTACATTGACTGAACATGCATTAATGTTATTATTCACTAGTTTTGTCTACTACTTATTTATCTGTGCCATGATAAATCTGTTTGTTTCATAGCTCACATCTCCATTTCTTTGCTCGCCATTTCTTCTCTTTTCATCAGGTGTAGCCATTCTGAATTTTGATACATGTATTATTTTCTGAGACAGCAAACGTGTTGCAGTGCACCTGACTTTAAGTTCTCTGCCTTCAGAAGTACCTTCTGAAATCAATGCAGTTGTGAAAAGTTCTTGCACAGATTTTTGCACATAGATTTTGCTTTATTAAATGTTGATTAACCTAAAGTAGGGTTCTGAGTTTGGCCTTGCTCATTTAAACATAATAAAACCATGCAAAATCAATTCTGGAGAGGAAATTTAAACCCACTGTGCAATGTTCCGAGCTAATATTTCACTTTATTTATGTGAGTGCTACATCATATTGAGGAAAGACTTGTGCATTACCCTACTCAAGCATTATATAGTGGGGGGGAAGCAATATAAGTTACTTCCTTGTCTTATGAAACCAGAAAAATTGCAACAATGGTTTTGTAGAGTCACTCAAGACAATAAGTAATGTTTTCATTAAAAGTACAACTGGATGTTATCTGCCAAGATTTATGTCTTGTAGGATCAAAGTTCCTCTGATACTTGCTGGAAAAGCAGACTGCAGGTAGAAAATCAGAGATCATCATTGTTTCCATTCTCTAAGCATTAAGCCCAGTGACAGTAAGTCCCAGGAACTGGACTTGAATGGCATGTGGCTAAATTGATGTCCATTGCCATAATGATGAAATACATGTAAAATGAAATTAAATGGGTACTTCTTGCACCACTGTGTACGTGAAAGGCTTTGCATTGTACACAGGTTCTCCATCCCAAGGGATGCTGGTGCCATCAATGTGCATCTCCCATGCATGCAATAATGAGAAGGTTGTATTGTTTTAGAGAGGAGGAGTGGAAGGGAATGGTGCCATAAGTGTTGTTCTGGAAATGCTGCTCTGCCTGCGGGGTCTTCTGTGGGCCCAGCTCGAAGCTGTAGGCAGCACTCTTGCATCCTTGGTGTCAGCAGGGAGTTACTGGGGCCCTCGGCATGGCACTGTGCTTCACTGCTGGGAGGTTAAGGGTGGTTTGGGCTCTGCAGAGATTTGCTTGGCTCTGACATGTCCTGTAAACAGGCTTTGCCTGTAGAACATGGAAGCAGGGCAGAAAATTGAATTTCCAGAATAGAAACTGTGTTAATATGCCTTCACTGATGTGCTGGAGCTTTCAGACACAATCAAGAACAGAACAAGAATGCTTTCAACTGTTTCTATCTAATTTCTTTACAGCATATGACTAAGGTACCACCTTGTGAAACCCAACACGCAGCAATTAAATTTGAGTGCAGCTGGGGCTGTGTGGATGTGTACAGCTGGCAAACAAGACTCCTACTGAACCATCGCACAGTTTTGATTCCTCTCAAAATACTGTTGTAAAGCAGTTGCAAGTTTCTGTATGTGCAGGGGTAATGTGGGTAATAGCAAGGGGTCTTCACTTTTTCCTGTTATTTTGAGCCTTCACGCAGTTCCCCAACAAAACTAGGTTATTACATTCAAAATGTGATCATTTGGGGTTTGTCTTTATTAAGAAAGAAATCAGAGAGCTTGGCTTTAGCCGGTCTCTTGGCTCCTATCTGAGATAGGCTAAATTGTACTGTAGATCATCCCTCTCCAGAGAGTCACACTCTCTTTTTGGAATATCCATACATTTGTATCTGATCTTACAGCTCACTTGGATGCCTGGGGAGGGAGTTGAATATTTGTAGTTTGTTTTTTTTTTTTCTTTTCTTACCATAGAAATGCAATGGCCAGTCACAGAGCCTTGAGAGCTTATTCTCAAGGTGATCTAAGGTGTCCAATGCTTCCAGCAGCCATGGAAGCATGTAGAGGCTTTCAGATTGCTGGTAGGAGTCACAATCTGATAATTCCTTGGATTATTTTTTTTGACTTTTTTTTTTTTTTTCTTATTGCACTCCAAATATCACTTTAGTTGATGATCTGAGAAGTTATAAAGGATTCGTGTAGTTATTGTAAAGTGATTTATTTGCATCTGCTGATGTATGACTTTGGAATTTGTCCCTGTGCCTTCACTGATTGTAATGATGAAAATGTACTTTTCATAATTTGTTTCATGTAGCGCAACTTGTCACCCTAAAATCTGATGTAATCCTTGACCTCTGATCTGTAGAATCCTACAGTAATCCCTTTATGATAATATTATCTCTTGAACTGACCATTCAAAGGCCTTAGGAATTACAGAACGCTCTTAATTAACTTGTCTGAGACAGTGTTTATTTCATTGGTCTTTTTCTTTCTTCCTTTTCATTGTCACCGTGGCATCTGTTTGTTCTCATCCTTTCCCCCCTGCCCTGCTAATTATAGATAGGGGAAACAGAAATCTAACCTTGCTGGAAATTCATTAATATTAAAATATTCCCTAGATAAGCCTGTAAATCTCCAAGCCGGATAGTTTGTCAGTTCCTTACAAAATAATTCACCTTTCGAGTGAATGCAGATCTTCAATACAAATTAGTAATCACTTCTTGCATATTTAAATTTACTTTTCAACTTAGAAACCTTAACAAAATTTCTGTTTTCATGCTGAGAATTGGCAGGGATGAACCATTCCAATCTTAATGCAAAATGAACAAATAACTTTTAAGAAATTATAATGTGAATGTGTCCTTTTAACAAGAACTCAAAGTTATTTGCTACTGTGATTATAATCATTATTAAATATAGATCTAACTACACAAATACAGAGAGTACAAAGGTTGGTGTTCTAAAAGATACAAATTAGACTGGAATACCCTTGCTTATGGGACTTTTCAAGATGATTTCACTGGCACTTTTTGAGTAATTTGTGATGGACGTTTGACCCTTTGCCATAGGTCTGTCAGCTTTTCTTTTGATTAAAAAATACAATTTTAATACGAAAAAAAAATAAAAACAAAATAACCCAACTGAAATTACATTCTGAATTATTTAGAATCGCACAGGAGATGAAAGCTTCTTAGAAGTTTCCAGAGTGGAGATAATGCATCATGATCAATAAATGAATACTATCTTTCCTAAACCCAAATATATTTGGCATACATTATTAAAAAGGTATGAAACTGTCTGATTTCATTATTAATGCAAGGTTATGCTATGGCTAACATGCACAGCTGAAGAGGTCATACAGTACAAAGTTAGCATTTGGTTTCATAGTTGTTATTTTTTAATGATTTTAAAGGAATGATGAGGAACCAGATTTAGATCTTCATTCTCTTCAATCTTGCTGTCTCAGTTAAGTCCACCTTGTTCTTTGGAGAGAAATGGAGGATTGGAGAGGTACTAAACAGATCCTGAATTTAGGAGTGCTTGGGAAGTGTGCCCTCAGAAAGACCATCCCTAGAAACATTCCTGACATTACAAAGAAAAAGGAGAATAGGCAGATGAAAAATAAGTGCTGACACTACACTTGCAATGTTCATGCTGTAGTACGTTAGTATCAATACACTAAATTTTCTAAATTTGCAAGCTTTTCTTTAGCAGCTCTGATTTAACATCTTCAGGATGCCTGAGTTGTCTGGGTCAAGTACATTCTAGCATTTTCTTTGACATATTTGCCTCCCTAAAACAGTCTGTTCTTTTTCCTTCTATATCTACCCTCATCATTTCCTCACAGAGACTGTAAATGTCAGTATGTCTCACTGATAATTTGCTGTTTGAGGTTACCTAACCGTGGAGTAAAATTCTCATGCTTGTTATGGCACGGTTGTGTTATTTCATTGACTTTGCACCTGTCATTAGTATGATTCCCTTTAAAGCCACTTTTAAAGTAATATGAAATATCAGTAGCCATTTCTAAAGTTTTTGGTATATTTTCAACTATTTTGTCTTGCAGTAAGTCCACAGACTCGGCTGTAATGAGAATCCTAGTGTGCCAAGATTTTTTGACATAACTCTGCCCAGATAGACGGCATCTGCTCTGAAGACATTGCCTTGTGAGTACAAATAAGAAAGTCAGTGTATGCTGAATTTGTGCAGAGAATGAAAGTTCATAATTTTTGAAAAATCATATGGCTGCGGATGCAGCTTGAACTCTGAATTTGGCTCTGTGCATCATTTAAGGGGTTTCGTCTTTATGGGTTCCTGTTACTTTACAGATTGTAGTTTGTAGCTTAGAGTGTGTTCTCACTTGATTTTTGCTTACTTTGGCAAACTGTTGAAGTCTAGATGCTTACTTCCCTGAAATATGTACATTTTCTTTAGTCAAACTGTTTTGAAGAATACTGCAGAATGGGAGCAAAGGAGTTATGTACCCTTTTGAAATTGAAAATGACTCTCTTAAGGAGAAGAGGTATAGTTGTTCTGTATTTCCTACTGTTGAAAAATAGTAGGTAGGTTACTTTTTCACCTTTTTTTTTCTAAACTACACTATAATGAGCAGTTGTGCATCTCTTACTACCAGCTAGACTACAGAGGTGTCCCATGGAGTTCATATCTATCCCTGGAGAACAGACACCCTCTTCTAACTCGAGCAATACAAACTTTACCCACTTCTCATGCACTCCAAAGCAGTGAATTTACTTGATGCCCTCTACTCTGGGAATATTCAGTCACTCTTGTGTGTCATTCTGAGAGGGATTGTCATGAGATTCTAGTACTTCATAATCAAGAAATACCGAGAAATGTTTTTCTTGAAAGTAACATGATTATGTTATGAACTTTTCTCTAAACACTGATGTATTCGTATTTTGAAGCTGTGCCTGTGAGGCAAGCTGATTCCCACTTTTTTTTTTTTTTTTTTTTTTTTTTTTCCTGCAGAGCATAAATCTTGTGAACTTCTCTGAAAGATCCAATTTCCAGGTCGCTCTTTGTGATAGTTGACAGACTTGTAAATCTTACCCAGAATTGTTCACACATAAACTTAAAAAGCAGGCGAGATGGAAACTTTCAAAGCTTCATACTTCACTGTGAAATGAATAGGTGCAGTGAAGCCGTTTGCAGATTAAATGAAGTTTAAAAGTGATTTCACTTCCTAAATAATGTATGAATTATCTGGAATCATTAAAAAATAACTATATTAGTGCTAAAATTTTCAAAGTCAAGACGACATGACCTGAGTTAGAAACATATCTTTCAATACTGTTATTTGGTATTAACCTATGCAAACTGATGTTTACTGTGTTAGAAAAAGTTTGATAAAATAAAAAAAACATTGGTATATGTGTATGTGCAGCATTGTAGGAGAGAACATAGGAAATGACATCTACTAGCATTAGTGGCTAGTGCGGTACCTCCTTATGTTATTTATTATGTTATTATGGAGTCAAGTTCTTGATTTTTTTTTTCTCTATAATGCAAATTTCATGCATTTGTACTTATATACTGAATTAGTTTTTAAGCATTCAACCTCTTTTTAAAAAGAAAGGTACAAAATTTAAGTGCTGGGTTGAGTCTAGCAATATTAAAGATGATAATGTAACTTCTTATAAGATGTACTGCAAGGGAAAGAGGACAAAAATGGCCATTAGGGGTTTGTGTAACAAAACTGTATGTTTAACTTAATACACTGTGATAGGGCTACTGATACATTATCTTTCAAAGATAAAAATTTACATATGGAAGGATGGATGTTTTTAGGTTCTTTTGAACTCCTAATAATATCAGTTTGTAGTAGAAAAACTAGTTTTCAAAAACCACATTGGCCTACCCATGCTCCATTTAAAGTCATCAGAGAAGCTGTTACTGACTTCTGAGACAATAGATTTATTCTTTGTCAAAACATTGCAATTTGGTTAGGTATAATAAGAAGATTATACATGTATATTATTATTTCATATTCTACTTAAAAATGCAGGTTTAAAAAAAACATTTGTCATAGCACAATGATTAGATTTTTTTTTAGTGCTGTCAGTATCATCTGTGTGCTTTTATGATGATAGTATTGTTAATAGAAAAAAGACTAGCAGAAATAAAGAAGATGGATGAAAAGATGGATTTCTTTCTGTTATCAGCTAGCGCCTGTAAAATACTTTCAGCCATTCCATATTCCCAGTAGTCACTGCCATCATCTAAGTCAAACATAAATACAAAAGAAAGAATAGGCAGCATTTACTTATCTTTTTTACCCAATTTATTTTGCGGTTCCTTTATAAAGTTTTTCATCCTACTTCTTATTTTGTATGTATTATTGAAACTGTGAAGCCATCACTAAATATGTGGCTGAAACTAAATTTCAAATGTGATGGGTAAAATTGATTAAGTGTTCTTACAGAGATAATGGGTTCCAAGGTCTCCAACTCTTTCAAGACCACAACCCTTGCTGGAAATAGAATGCAACAATAAATTGAAGGAAACCAATGATTAAACCCTAAACTTGCAGAAACTCTGAGAATACTCTTCCAGCAATAATATGTTCATGTTAGTTTATTTTTTTCTTTTTTTTAAAGCTTAAAAAGATTTGGAGCAGATCTTATATAAAATACATCCTGTTCAGGATGCAGATGCTGTAAACCTTATCTTTGTCAAAACTCAGCTTGCTCCTATCATCTGTTAGCCCGCTCAGTAAACCAGAAAGCATGATGGCCTTGGTCACTGTGCTTCCATCTTTACTTGCCACTGGCCAGTCAGAAGGTGGGTTTGGGGGACGTGGGCCCTGCCACAGAGCAGGTTACCCAGACCAGGAGGAGTGTGTGGCTTCTGGTCTGTATAAACTGTGTTTAGAAAACACAAAACAGAAACATCAAAGGAGGTTCGGTCCATGGAAAGCTGTTTGTCTCTGGTAATCCCCCTCAGTATATGACTATCTCTACGTATAGACCCATACGTTTGTGGTATGCGAACACTGCTAGAAACATAACAGGAGCCTAAATAAAAAGAGAGAAAGCTCTCTCTATACTGGGTAAGATCAACCTTTGTCTAAGGACACCTATTAATTTCCTTCTGCTCTTGTCCTGGGATGCATAGGTTTAATTTGTTGCTTTTAAAATTCATGCTGGCATCAAGATCTCATAAATGTTAGCCAAAAACTCCTCGTTGATTCTAAGACTGAGAGGCCAAGTCTGGTGAATCTGTCCTCCTAGCTAAAACTACCCCAGATTCTGTGGGAATTGATAGCTCTGACCTGCACCTGCTTGATTTCTGCAATGTCTTTATGTGGTAATCAGAATTGCACATGATTTTCCAGATGAGCCTTCAGGAGCATCTTTCCCATTGCCAGGGTGCCTTTCTGTCATTTATGTTTCATTCTCTTGTTTGCCCAGTGTAGTGCTTCTTGCTACTGGACAGATGGTTTTATTATTTGCAATCACCACAGGATCTCCCTTATGATTTCTGTATTCAGCAATGATTTCCATGTTTATTTTTGGTACCCAGATTATTGCCTTGCTTTTGCCAGCACTGGGCCGTCTGTATCCACCCATAAACCAAATCTACTCAATCACTGTGTATCTGGCTATTCTGCTGGTTTTTTACTATTTTTGTGCTATCGTTAAACATAGTCATTCTGGAAACTGAGCACTTCTCTGCCTCATTTGTATACCAGTTAATTCCAACATGCTGACCCAGCAGCTTTCCTTTCAATGCTTATTTTCTCTCTAACATTTTGCTGTTTGCCAGCACCTCTGGCCTTGCCTAAATGGAAGAATATTTTAATTTATCCATGGAAATTCGTATTTTTCTGCTTCATGCTCTCAAAGCATATACAGCTCTTTTTACGGTACAGATACCACTCATCTGACCCACCACCCAATTTTCCATCAGAATAATATACTGTTCAGATGAACATTTTTTTTTTTTCCCTTGGTAAATCTGTGCTGTTCATCAGGTGACATGGTTCTATATTTGTGTTCACACGAACATTTGTCTTTTAATACCAGTTTCTCAATATTAGGGGTTCTTCTGTACTACAAAATCCAGTTAGAGCATTATCATCACTTGAAATGGATAATGTGATTTAGTCTATTAGCATCGATGGTACCGTGTTATAACTCTGCCCCTAAGTCAAGTTACATTTTAGACATAAAAATAGGAATGATTAGGTAACATGGTTTAAATGCGATTTAGTTATACCTCAGTTGCAAAACATTTTTAGCCAGGGCAAATTGTAACCGTGCTCTTTCTGGTACCCAGGTAGACTATTTTTGCAGCTATGCTGACCCACATACTGAGTAGGATAGTAGCTCCCCTGCAGTCTCTGTGATTTATCAGATAAACATATCTATAACCTGCTTGGTCCTCTAAGTCCTCTGAAAATTATCTACTAGCAGTATTAACAGGTCCTCATATACTCACAAATAAAGATTTTCTAGATCTGATTAACACTGTCACCTCATTCCATGTACCGTTGTCTTCTGCGTGGAGTGGAAGTGACTTATGCTTGAAGAGCAGTTAACCACCAATCATCTTGTCTTCTAGAAGAAGCCCCTGTAAATCAAACTCTTTCAACAATAGAAAGGCCAGAAGTTGTTTTAAATGCAATCTTGAAATGACTAGTAATTGAGAAAGGTATAGAATTGCCATCCAAGCTCCCTGTCACTGAAAATAATCAAAGAAATTGAATAAATCTTCTGTATGTTTCTTTACTTTATATGCTTAGTTTTGTGCTAAGGGCCTCCAATCTCATTCTGCTACACTGCAGTCTTTATTTCATGAGCATTTGCAATGACTTGAATAAATCACTGCTCAAAGTATTCCCCCAGAATTACTGTCCTTCATCAGCAGATAGATTTAGCCTCACTAAAGGCCAGTGCTTGTTTCTCAACCTGAGATTGAATTTTGGGATTTATTTCATAGATATACAGTTTCAATTAGTACCCCAATATATCTTAAAAACTTGAAAGAACTTTAATTCATACAGGAAAATTGGAAGGAAAGACTGAAAAGCAATGGGGGGGCTGGATAAGGGAAGAGCAATGCGACCTCCTAGGCTTCAGTTGCCGCGTGGGGTCCTGTGATATAAGACGCTTGCAGACCAAACTTTTTTCAGCATCAGAAATAA